ACCATATAGAAAAAGGAAGCCACAACTTCTTCATGCTGGCAAAAGATGTCGGTTTTTTGAAAACTAAGACAGACAGAAAACAAACGACTCCATTTGCTGTATTTTTACGACATTCTGTCATGCCCAAAGTAGAAAATTACGCTTACATCTATTTTAAAAAGTGGATTAGCTTCCAAACAGACTGCGAAGAACACGATCATGTGGTACACGGTCACATATTTAACTGTCTGGTGGCTTTATCCAACGGAAATCGCAGTTATGAAGACAAAGATGGCAATACAAATCGTCTGACTGATGGTTCAAGTTGGGTTGTTAAAAATACTGAGAGATTTGGCCCTGACGATTTGGAATTGGAAAGTGGGTTTAAAAAAGTTAGTTCAGAGGCTTGCCATATTTGCATAGGGGGTACTAAGTCTGATTACCGCCTCTTCTTTTGGAACCAGAGGCATCACAGCAAAACCGAAAATAAAACAATTAAGGTTTATTTGATAGATAGCATTGGTCATCACAAGGAGAAACATTTAGTTAAGAAAAAGGGAGATAGACATAGCAAAGAAAGCCAAAGTAGTAAATGTACAGCTGATTCCCAGATAGTAGAAAGGGAAATTAATAAAATCAAATTAGTGTTTGTGCAAGAGTCTGATGAAAAACCAAGCAAGCCTAAGGAGAAGGGTGATTAATATATATATTAATGGGTATATATATAATGGATAACTATGATAAAGCCAAAGAAGTGTCATAGAAAATCCAGGCGTAAGCTGTTTTCTCAATACAATTATTATTATTATTATTGATATGTCACAGTGAAAGTTAAGCACGTCCTATATTAGCTAGAATACTTTGTGAAGGGCTATTGTGCACTGTTGCAAATAAACATACTTATTTTCAAAAATGAATGATTGGATAAATGTTGTTATTGTTGATCGATATGTGATGCTGATAAGCGCCTTAAAATTCATCTAAGGGGAGACCAGGGTACGTTGGCACCCCCATCAACTTATCACAAAGGAACTATGGGGTAAAAGAATTGATCACATTATTTTGTAAAGTGGCCGTATCCAATAGTGCCAAGAAAGCCTCGGCAGTGAGTCCAAATGCAGTAAAAGATACCCCGGTATATCGTGTCAGAAGCGGAATAAATAAATAGATAAATAAATAAATAAATACAGATACTTTCGAACTAATTTCTAACAAAATAGAATGGCAAATATATCACGCATGGTATGCGTTTCAATCATCTGTTGAATATTCCTTAAATAAGTGTTGGAACTGTGTTATGGACTTGGCATGGACGATGTCGGTTGAAGGCTCGCCCACCGTTGCATTGTGTTAGAGAGGCCTAAAAACACAATCTTGCAACCCAGCAATATACGTGTGAGTGTGTGCTTATGTGTGCGTTTGTTAGAGGAAGGGGGGCGACCTCCCGTGATCCCGTCGTCTGCGCCAATAGTTCCAGAGACGGTTTAAAAAGCAAGCGATGAATGTACTGGCGCTAGAATGCTTTAGCCTCACAATCTAATCCCCCCTTGTTAACCTCAGTTTGTCAATACGTTTACGTTATCCTTAGCTAAATCAATAACGAATCAAAAAATCAATCTAAATCGTGTCTCATTGTCGTCATACAATGGCGTATGAAAGGGGACGACACATTGGTTATTATTGAACATCTGCTTCTCAGCAATGAAAATCTTTTTTAAATTTTAAGTCACGCAGGACAAGACTTCGGGTTAGCAAAACGTTGGATGGACATCATTTTTAACACCAGTGTTTTGTTTCTATTTCAAGGTCAATTCGAGCTCTTGTTACATAGGTGTTGCGTATGAATCCGCGCCGCGTTTAACTAAATAGCAAGACGATCGATTAAACGCTAACAATGGTTAGCAGGCCGGTTTCATATTTATTTTTTAGCGTTATTCTAATAACACAAAATGGACACGAAACCAAAGCAGGGTATAACCACAACGTGGCATTCAAACCTGAGTGTGAGCGCAGAGGTAATTATATCCCAAGCAAGTGCGTCTACAACTGGACCATAGACTATCGTATGACAGGGGTGTGGTACAACACGAGGAGGAACACGGGAAAACCGGTCTTTAGGTATGATAATCCTGAGCAGTATTTCTACGGGGAACAGTCAAACTGCACACGTCTGACGATGTCCGAGTCCGGTGAGTTTATCCCATGACTACTTAGCATGGATAGATCATAAAATGCATTAGGCAATGACGGCTTTTTATATATAATTATATACTCCACCACAAGCGCTTAAAGGTATAAAGTACGCATAGAAAATCCCATCGATTAATTAATTATTTAAGTAAGTAATAAATTACTTAATTAACTAACAACTAAAATACAGAGCAGCTGATCTTGTTTTTTCTCTCTCCAGACCTTGACGATGTCATCATGACCGACGGAGGTTACCGTAGAGTCATCACCATTAACGGGCAGTTTCCTGGGGAGACAATAGTGGCTTACAACGGAACGCAGGTATATAACAATTAACATGTCATGTGAGAATGACAACGTTCTATCTCCATTATTGTTTTTTTTTAACCCGGAGAACATCGAAAGAAAGCTAAATACAGTGATGGTATTTCCTCAAATTATTTTGTGTCAATTTTCTCTTGTTTATTTATAGGGCTATGCCTTTACGCTGACATTTAACACATAAAGACATTTGCAAATACTTTTTCTTTTCAGTTGATAATCAGTGTAACCAACAATCTAGAAGAAGAGGGTGTGTCCATCCATTGGCATGGCATCGTGCAGAGAAACACTCCATACATGGACGGGGTTGCTCGCATATCACACTGCCCAATCAACCCCGGGGAGACATTCGTGTATAGGTAAGGTTATCCGTCACTAGCCAATCACATTTGTCGATATATTATTTTGTTTGGCGTATATATCAGTCCCCCATCTTCCGCCTGGAATTTTATATGTATGCCATAATAATCCTACAGTATTGCCTTTCGGAGAGTCGCCATATTTAATCCGCGGATCTGTTAGTCCGCTGTTCTGAATGCGCTGTAAGTGTGTGTGTGTGTGTGTGTGTGTGTGTGTGTGTGTGTGTGAGAGAGAGAGAGAGAGAGAGAGAGAGAGAGAGAGAGCGCATTTATTGAGATGACATCTAATATTACACACTATAACATTGTAATTTGACAATAATAATAATAATAATAATAATAATAATAATAATAATAATAATTAGAGTTAAGAAAATATTATTTTTTTGCTAATCAAACACCTTCAATTACTAGGTTCATAGCCTATCCCCCCGGGACCCATTGGTACCACGCCCACCTGGGGAGTTTACGATCTGACGGTCTGCATGGGGCACTGGTCGTCATAGACCCCGCAGAGGAGAGAACCAAGGTGATGTGTAATAATAATACTGATAATATTAATAACAATAATAATAATACATATTAATAAATGAATAATAATAATAATAATAATAATAATAATAATAATAATAATAACGATGATGATGACACATATTATCATTATTATTATTACTATTATTATGTTTATTATTATTTCCATATATATATTTTTATTTGATCATTATCATAATTTTAATCCATTTTAAATTATTGGTTTAACAACTAGGTTGAAGATATACCCTTAAAGTGCAAATAAAACTGCATATTGAAGACAATGTATTTATCGATTTGTAGAAATGCTATATGTGAAAGTAAAACGTAATGATATACTGGTACTCGAACTATACTAACTTGTCACTTATATCTTAAAGGCAATGTTCAGAGAATGTGCCCTTAAAATATTCTGTTTCCAGTATGGGTGAAACAAATATGTTATTAATGTTATTTTCATAAGGCCTTTCTATTAGGCCTTAAAGCAAATGTATTATTGATGCTATTTCCAGGGGTGGATTTTGTTTGTTACGAGACTTTTGTTATGCCATTTGTTTTACCATCGATTTTGTTTTTTGCGATCAATCCATATGATGGCGTACATCATGGCTCCATGATTAATTGTGTGGAGAAATGTGCATTGGTACATTATCGTTTTTATAGAATACTTATAGAATACAAGAATACTTCGTGGCTGAATTAATAAGTTGTTTGGTTTTAATCCCTATCAACCGATAAAACTATTGATGTGTATTCGCTCTGTTTTTATTTGGATTGTATAGCACGATTCTGTCGTGAATTACTGAATTATTGAAGGTCTTGGGTTTGTTGTTTAGTTAACGATTCATTCACCGTTTCTTTTTAATCCGCTGACACAGGCTAAATAACATCTTGCATTTAACATTTGTATCGCATTAAACAAGACAACCTCCTATTTTCTGCCAATTAAGTTATTCTATTTAAAGCGTGTTACTCATTTAGCCAATAAGGTGATGTGTTCTTCCGATTTGAAGTGAAATAATTCCCCAGATTACTTACTGTTTGAAGAAATATCACCAGCCCAGTTCTATTTTTTTTAGTCAGTATAGGAAATTGTACAAGTGGTAAACGGCACAGACTGCGTTATTTGTCTTCTCTATTCCTGTCACATTAATTTACTCTAGAGTGGTCACCAGCTCAGCTGGTCTCTATAGCCTGTAACGATGTGATGACATGTTTCAAGCTACCTAAACGCATTACGCGTGACTAAAATTGTTAGTGTTTATTCCTAGGGATTTCGACATTTCAGGATCTCCACATGGTCCTTATCACCCTGTTGATTTTATATACGCTTTATTGTGACACGAGTACAGGCGCTTTTAAGTGGCTGATATCAGTGTATGAAAATACTTTGAAATCAATCCTGGCCCGAGTTTTACAAAAAAAAAAGGCAGTTTCCAGGGCTAAGAACTTATTTACCAAGGTTACATAGTCACATGGACACATCTTACCCTATCAGGAACAGTGTAACAGCAATCTCATGGAAATCCTGGTAAACTAAGCCAGGGAACTGACATAAGTACTTTTTTGTAAATGCTGCCTGGTTTGATTTTCCAGGCGAAGAAGGATACCGACGTCACCATGATACTGACCGACTGGTTTTCACAGGACACCTCCACGATAGCTTCCAATGTTATTTGGGAACTAGAGCGCTTTGCACCCTTTATGCAAACCTCACCCTCCATCCAAGACTGGTTTAGGGAAAGGATGTGTTTTTATCAAACCAAACAACACGATGGGATGGACATAGGGGTGTGGCCAGTTCAGTCCATTCTGGTCAATGGGAAAGGTACGGTCACTGACATTGACCTTGTAATAATAGTACGGTAGTACAAGTAGTCGTTGTTGTGTTAAGCCCCCTTTACACTGGACGGCCGCGGCGTCCTTTCTGCGTCCAGCAGTACGGCCCCATTTGAGAGTTAAAGAATTATAATACTTTACGTGCCGACACCTGGCCGATCATTGAGCAGTCATTCTGATACAAAATCAATGCTCGTGCCTCCTTATTAAGACAACAGCGATGCCAAATTTCATGGTCGCAGAAAGGACGCAGAAAGGACGCCGTCCAGTGTAACGGGGGTATTACCGAAGAGGATCCAGAATTACTTGCTAAATCGACCCCCTTGGCGTGGGTTTCGGGGCCCGCTGAAATTTTGGTATTTTAGAGAGCGAACGGTGCCATTTGGTACGGTTTAGAACTATGGTTCAGCTAGTCAAAATTCTAATTTCAGGAGGAGACCATTGGTGTGTTTTTTTCAGACATCGAGGGGGAGGCAGGACCCCCTTAAACCCCCTAAATCCACCACTGGTACGAGTAGAAGTAGTAGTAGTAGTAGTCTCTGAACTTGCTAAAAGTCCCTTGCAAAATTATTTTATATTATACTTTACCAGCCCAAAGGAGCACTACCCAATTAAACCACTGCATATTACACAATACAGCGGTGCAACAGACATGGTAGTCAGTTAATTGGTTGCAACACACGTGACTACACACTTCTCCGGTCAGATATTTTACATGATATCTGAGTTTTTTTTTAATAATGCATTTTTACCTAAGTATACCTGTATTATTGCAGGCACCGTATGTAACGCAACCCATGGAACTTCCAGATATAATTGTAATGAGAGACTGGAGGAGTTCATAGTACCCAGGCATAAGAAAATCCGAATTCGGATCATCAACGCAGCCACCCAGTATGCACTTAAAGTATCAATTGACAGCGTAAGCCTTGACATTCTTTTCAAGTATATATACAACTATACTGGTGATTTACTTTAAGTTATCATTTATTTTAGTTATTTCAACTCGATATTTTATTGTCTCACGTTTTAAAAGACATTTCGTAAGTGCATGTCTTGTGGACACTTGAAGTGATTAATTTCATAATTGAATAAATAAATAAATAACTATCAAAATGTATTGAATAATAAATAAATAAATTGATAAACAAGTTAATCAATGACCCACATGATGAATGTTCTGTAAAACATTTTTTTCTGTAAGCAAACAAAGAGCGATAGATTTCAATGTACTGTACATAAGCTTTTTTCTGAATCGTGAATCCCAAAATTATCATAATTATATTTTTGCAATATACACCATGTAGCTCACCTTCTACATGGTTTTAAATAAATAAAAAAAGAAAAAAAAAAACAAAGAAAACAGAAAAAAAGAAAAAGAAAAGAACAAAAGTCGTGCACTTCCTGTCGTACGCTGAAATCATAAAAATGTAGTTTTCTGTGAAAAACAGCAAAATATTTTTTTCGTTATCTTCTTGCAGCACTCCATGACGGTGGAATCCATGGACGGCAACGCTATCCAGGGAACGGAAGTATTAGACTACCTCATCATTCACACCGGTGAGAGATATGACATAGAGGTCGCCACTGATCAGTACAGGCAGACTCCATTGCAGCCCGTAAATGATGGATATTTTTGGATACGAGTGGAATCTTTGGAGGAATTTGACCAGCCAAATCAGAATGTAATGTTTTCAGTGTTTCATTAAATTATTTATTTATCTATTTTTTAGCGGACAAGATATCCGAAATATTTGTCATAAATTTTGACGCAATTAAAATTTGGCCATTTATTCACCTTCAACACTTTGGAAGAGAATGCGGAACTTATATCTCAGATGTGTTTATTTCTTTGCAGTTACGAAATATAATTACTCCTAAAACCGGCTGGGCGGTTTTAAAGTATGAAGGAAGTCCACCCAGACGTAAACCATTTACAACACCCAAGCAATGCCCAGTTTCTAATCCATGTGAGATCCTGAACTGCCCTTTTCGGTATGGAAAATATAAACTTGATTTTACTGCACACACACACACACACACACGCATACACACACACATATATATGGACAGTGGTGAACTATGATATCATCTTCCTATTTATTAACGAACGCCTTAGCCTGTGAAAATCTTAAATCAATCAAGTGGTGCAATATAATGTATTTCAAAACTAAACATTTTTGGAAAAGGGTGGGGGGGGGGTGTAGACGTCGTCGAGCATTACCCAGAATTGTTGGTAATACCCCCTTTTGAACTGGATGGCGTCCTTTCTGCGTCCTTTCTGCGTCCTTTGTGCGTCCATGAAAATGGCATGGGTGTGGTCGTAGAATGGAGGCACAAACATCGCCTTCGTTGCAGAAAGATTGCTCAATAATTTACCAGTTGTCGGCAAGTAAAGTATTACATTTTTATTTTTGCTCTCAAAACGGGGCCATACTACGGGACTCAGAAAGGACGCCATCCAGTGTAGAGGGGGCTTAAGCTAATGTTATATGTTTATATAGGGAATACAGGCCCAAGGGAAGCAATTATTACACCTGTATACCAATAAGTAGGACCCGCGCACTTGGCAGCCTTATAGACCGACACCCAGTGCCTATGCCCACCTCCGATGACAACTTTCAGCAGATATTCCTCAACTTTCATTTCTCGGGTAAGTTGCTTCTATAAAATGTTTATGAATAAACAATTTCGTTTGACCGCTTCAAAGAGCAGACTTTGTTCGATTCTAACCATTAAATGGGTCAAAATCCGTTCTGTAAGCGGTCCAAGACGGGTGTGACAGGGGATTTATCATAACAAGGGGATCTATAATTACTACCTCTACTTCTTAGGTTGTCTCATCTTCACTTAGTGGAAGAGTGCAAGAACTGTTACATAAATGGAATAAATATAACTGTACATAATTTACAAAGAAATCATTCGCTACATATCCTCATGTGACAATGTCAGTAGTAAATAAAAAGATACTGACACGGGCATTCAATTATATATATATATATATATATATATATATATATATATATATAACATTCAGGTTATATCCTTCAACATTATGACTTCAGGTTCCAAGGCACTCCGATCATCTATTAACTGTCACTTGTTTCGCTTTCCCAGGGTACCCCCACAGGTACGGTTGTCATGCGTTTATCTTGACTTTTTGAGAACCTGTAAAGAATAGCATAGCATAGCATAGCATAGCACAACGTAGTATAGCATAGCATTGAATAGAATAGAGAAACAATAGATAAGGATTGGCTCATAGCATTAATGGTAAAAATTCACAGATGAATATATGGCCTTGAAAAAGAATGGATGTAAGGCATTGCATAAGGAGTATGTGGCAAATGCTCAGTGTATCCTCCAGGCTTTAAAGACGCAGTCAATCCAGTCCACACCACATGAAGTATATAATGTGATATTAATGTCATATACCCAACCGTTAATTGTTTAAAATGTTTTTTTTTCTAGTTGTACCCGGAGCGCGACACAAATTATGAGTGCGACGAGCCTTGTACCGGGGATTGCTACTGTTCGTACACGGAGAAACTGAAGTTAAATAACGTCATCCAGCTCGTCCTGATTAATATGGGCATAGGTAGGATATTTTGTTTTTTCATTTAATGGAAAAATAAATCAGCAGATCAGTAAAATAACTGGATGGTTGATGTGGACTGGTACCCTGATTACGTTGTAAACAAAATGCCCACACAGTTTATAATATGACTCTACCTCGGCAATCTTGAAGTTCAGTCATCTTCGCTGACCACGTCCCCTTACGTAGAGTTTTACAGCGGGGAAAAAACAAACGATACGTCAATAAATATATGCTTTGGTTACTTAGTTTTCACCATAATTTCGTTAATTTTTGTTATGATAAAGTTCTGATATAGCGTTTCTCGCTCATGCGACTGCCTTAAATCTTAGCTAATTAAATACTTTGGTGATCAAGGTCAACCGGGAATGGCGCATCCGGTACACGTACACGGCCACCATTTCCACGTGCTCAAGATAGGCTACCCCCAATACGACGCCAACTTCCGGTATCTGTCCGACACCGACGATGTAGTATGTGACGACCCATTCTGCAGCAGCGCTCGGTGGAACGACTCCACCTGGGATGACTATCGGGCGTGGAACGGTAGTTTGAGGGTCATCAGGCCGATTTCTGACATAAATAACACCGAGAATGAGACAGCTGAACCGTGGATTCCGGAAGTGAATGCTGTCGACCCCCCGTTGAAGGACACCGTGATTGTGCCAGTTGGCGGTTACGTGGTGATTCGCTTCAAAGCTGATAACCCAGGTAAATTTAATTTACTTTTTTTTTTTTTATTTTGGTCGAGGTGACTTCGTGGCCAGGTTTTATCCAAAGCTGGGATATATTCTGAACTTGAGATAGTGATCGACCCCGTAAGCCGAAGGCGGAAGTAAATGATCCCAATTGAGAGTTGAACCTACCCAAGAGGTGACCGAAACACAAACTCTGTATAACTGCTTTGTATAGAACGCTCGCAAGATTTAAAGCTAATTGAAAATAATTAAGATACAGGACTTCTTCACTGACATAGCTAGCTCCTGAAGTGCCGATGGAGATCCAACAATAGACATGGATTAAGGCATGAGCTCGGTGTAACAGTTTCCTTTCTGCGTGAATTAGCAAACTGTTAAAAATGTATCACATCAGTTTTTTTTATTAAATTCATAATACATGTTATAAATGGTATTATCGCCGACGACTTTTGAGCACAGTTCATTTGAAGTCAAGAACTCAGTGTAACGGTTGTCTTTCTACAATTAACAAACTGTAAAAAATGCATCACATCAAATTGTAATACATTCCATAATAATAAACATTTATTTAAATATAATGGTTAATAGCATAATATTATGTTACATTATATACTTGTTTTCTCGACTTTTTTTTAAATCGACAAAACGTATTTTATAAAAATAAATAAAAAAGTATATTATAATTAAAATATGTAAAATAACGATATACTTTCAGTACTACTTAAAGTAGCGTAAACGTAATCTGACGGCCACATCGTTCTTTTATTATTTCATTCATCATCTCACATCATTACATATCTCTTTGTTTGATTTCTTAACTTTTTTGCCAGGTCGGTGGTTTATTACTATTATGTTTCATTTATATTATCGTTTCCCGTTGCCAGGTTGGTGGTTTGTCCACTGCCATTTAGAGTTCCATTACCTAGAAGGCATGGCCATGGTGCTGCAGGAAGGTGAACCATCAGAAATGCCCCCAGTACCCAGCAAAATTCCAAAGTGTGAGGATTTTGAAATGAGCGACAAAGAGTTTGAAGATGTCCTAAAATGGAAACCCAAAGTGACAATTGTAGGGTCGTCCAAGGATAAAAAAGCGTCCGGCGCAGCACTGCCTCATTTGCATTATTTTCTCCCTCCACTGATGTTTGCCGTATATGTCGCCTACAGTTGGTAGCTTAAAAGCAATGAATGTACGTGTATCTGGCGGCCCTGTTGGTCTTTCATTATTTTTGCCGTCGTTTATTATCTAGACATTTCTCTTTGTTTATGGGACGTGACCAGCTGGACCTAATTACTTTGCTCTATTGTACCATACTGCGCTGTATTAGCTACTATTGTACTTCATTGTGTTTTGCTGTAAATTTGATATGTGAGTGAAATCATGTTATAAGGAAGTGTGCAGTAGTATTTATACAATGGTATGTATGTCATTACTTTTGTCTGTGGTTCATTTTGTATTTGTCTTTGAACTGGTTATATATATATATATACTTATATACTAAATAAACTTATATACTTTGTTTTTTGGAAATGAAAATTATGCATATGAGTACATAAATTGCATATAAATTGCATCAATCTGAAAACTGGCCCCCGTTTTGAAACCTGGCCCCCTTTTCACAAATAAAATAAAATAAAATAAATAAATAAATAAATAAATAAATAAATAAATAAATAAATAAATAAATAAATAAACTTAAGTCGGGTTCCCTGACTAAGAGCTTGGTTACCAACGTAATTAAGTCGCCTTTACATCATTCATGATTCATGCCATTTTGTGATTGAGCACGGTTATGTATACAGTGTGTTGGGTATCAAAATATTTCAAATAACGTAGCAGGACATATCTGTTTTGCCGAATGAGAGAGAGAGGGACAGACAGGGAGAGAGAGAGAAAAGTTTGTTTAATATTGGTCCGCGTGTACCAGTCATATCACCATGCATTGTTCGTATATTTAAGTGAAATAAGTTACTTAATTCTACGTTTGCAATCCACAACTTATTACGCGAAAAAGAACGCATTTTAATAATTTTAATAATACTTAACTGAAATAAACTACCGGCGGTAGACATTAGCATTAGCCTGAAATAAATGTGTTATCCATGCACGGTTGCACTGTGTGTGTGTGTGCGTGTGTGTGTGCGTGCGTGTGTGTGTGTGTGTGTGTGTGTGTNCGGCATTTTGCTCAGGCTACGGCCCTGGAATACTTTGATAATTCTTGCATTTTATCTCTTTTACACACTTACTTTACACAGGAAATAATATGTGAACAGAGTAACTGCATACCTTGGCTTTTTTAGTCCAAAATGTGCCCATTACACAGCTTGATGCTGCAAATCGTACTAAGTATGCCCCAATTTGGTAAGCCATCCGATGCACATTTGAAACGGGGGAATAAGCAAGCTCACCAAGCTCAAAAACTCAGCGCCTGAGCTATTCCAGGGGCACTTTTTGGAAGAAGTAAGATGTGACATTTAATTACTCGGTTCTCATATTTTTTAATGTACTGAGTGTGAAACATACGAAATGACAGACTTATCAACGCACTCAGGGAGTTCAACAATTTTGAATAAGGCCCTTCCTTGCACAGATAAGTAACTGTAGCAAAGAGGTTGGGTGTAGTCCTAATGTTTTTATTTACGTAGCTAGTGTCTATAAATAAAGTAGCCCGTGTGCATCCAGAAGTTATGAGAATCACTCAATACTGTTTTCACCGGGCGACATGACACAAGCAACATGTTGGAAACTCTCCTGTGCCCTCTTGGGAATCTTAGAGGCTGTCGTCTACACCTTCACGTTATTCGGGTGGCCTGCTTTCGTCTACATATTCATCGAGGAACGATTTTACGATGATCGTTGTTCTTTTGATTCAACTGCCAATGGCTCCGATTGCAAAGGTCTTGGAAACCTTAGAAACACCAGGCAAGGACCGTCTTCAAAAGTGCGCGGAGCAAGAAGAGATGCTGAACCTAGTTTACACGGCGGCTATGGTCGGCTTGGTGTCCACTCCCGTTCTTGGATATGTCTATGACCACTGCGGGCTAGTTTGCGTGAGGATCCTTTCTATGTAAGTAATATATATAATGTCATTATGTATAGCAATGTATTTATGGTGGCCGTTATGGTACATCGACAATGACAGCTTCGTCTTCTTTGTGCTCTATCCCCATCTCCCTCTCTCTCTCTTTCTCTCTCTCTTACCACACACAAACTAAAACGTACTCGTACTATAGGGTCCCATCTAGCTGCTTGCCCAGTTTGAACAAGGTTGTGTTCCGATGTTTGGTCAAATACCCTACGACCGATTTTGTACCAGCTGGAAGGGTCCCATGCGTAAACACATAACTAAATGTTTTAACATAACATTTTAAATATCATAAACATATTATAGTGGTGTTCTAAAATAGCTTAGTCATTTACAATTTATTGATATTATAAATGCATTTAACATTTGCTAGCTTTATACATGTACTTTGTTTGAATACCGAAACATTTCATTGAAGCTAAGATCTAATATACCGTTTATTAGATCTTAGTTTACCCCAATCTAAATTATTTTCCGTATGGTATTAGCAGTAGTTGGGCGAAAAAACGGCTTTGGATTTGGGACAGTTTGTTAAAAAATAAAGCTAAGTAAGAAACAAACGGAAAATAATAGATAACGAATTGACAAAAAGTGTGCTTAACCTGAAAGATGAAATTTGACATTTTCAGACAATTTCAGTAAAATATATTTTGTGTCAAGAGTAGCAGAAATAAATAAATAAATAAATAAAGATAATTTCTATGTTATTTCAAACAAAAACTGTATATTATATTACGAGAGGTTTTCTTCATAGTCTTATTAGGTCCAAGCGTGGAGTAACCGCTAAAACTGCGGTGACGAACTTTATTTGACCCGATGTCGGTTGAAGGCCCACCAAGCGTCGCATTGTGTTAGAGAGGCCTGAAGCACAATGACAAGATGGGGGAGTTGGTCCGCGATTTTTTGGGGTTGGTTCTCCTTTGCATTGCACACTCCAATTCATGTCACAGTTGATTAGTAAGTTTAATATCAGGGCTCAACATATCGTGTTTTATATAAGAGTAATCCATAATAGAGTGTTGAAATCAATAAATCAAGTTTTATCCTCGCAATTCACTCTAAAATACCATACGACAGCAATATGAATTCTACTGGTAAGAATAGTTTATCAAATACATGTTCACAAATTAGAATTATGTATAGGGATAAAATATACATGTACCTCTAGGGATCAGTAGCTTTATGTCTGGCCGTAGCTGTATTTTACTCTGGTCTAATAAAAGTGTAGGTATTTATATGTACAAGTAAATTTTGGTATAACGGGACTATAGGGGAGGAACGTAAAAACTACCGTTATGTTGACAAAGCTGCAAGTAAGATTATTAAAGGACAGATGTCCCAGGCTAAAAACTTGGCAAGCGAAAATAGAGAGCGCATTACATAGAAAAACTGCTTTTCTAACAGTACTAGCAGTTTTTGTTGGAGGTGTTTACGCTGATGTCAGGAATTTGATTTGTCTGTAAATAAGAAATTTGTGGCTGTTCAAACAGCTGTTGTGTAAACATTATCGAATTTTTGCAGTAGTGTGACTTCATAATAGTCGAAGAGTGTTTATCTTTCAGGTAGACTTTTTCACGTGAATTGCGTCGCTTTTTATCAGCAAATACATCTGCGCTTTTGTCATGCATAGAGCATAGAGTGTTTTGTCGTCCTACGGGATCTTATTTTTGAAACCAATATTTACACGACTGGCATTTCTTAATACTTTTACTTTCAGAGCAAACACCCTAATGAAAATTGTGGGCAAACATGTTGAAAGTACTAAACATACAATGTAGGACATGTCACACTATTGCCACAATTCGCCCAAAACTTTTTATTCACTGCTTAACATACACTCTTTTGGGTAATTAATAAATCTTCAGTGATCAGTGACTAAATTAATTAACATATACACATATAAAATCTTGTTCAGGCTTGAAGTTACCCCTCAAAATAGAAAGGTGTTAAATTAACGATTAAGGTTCTGAGACGCCTTATACATGCTTATACATTACAACGAAAAATATAAACACCGATATTTTATATATTCAGGTTTTTTTCATCGTTTTAAATCAGCACAAAGATAGTTGCATTATTGAACAGATAGATATCAGATACAAATTATTTTCGATATTTGGACGACAATAAACGGTTACAATATCCTTAAACAAACGATTTACTTCCCAATCTCACACGAGAAGAGAAAAACATAAAGAAAACAAAATAGATTGATGTACTATTGTGAAAAACTTTCCTAATTCTTAACCGCTATACACCAAAGAGGTAGGGTCCACAGATGCCCGATAAGGGGCCTACGTTGATTGTTTGGAGAGTAAATCATCCAGTGCAGAATGTCGGCTAGAAGAAAACAAAGTCTGATATTCAGTTCACATCATGCATCTATATTCTTAGAGTGGACGCAGTCTTTGAAACTCACGGCAGAACTTATATTATATAAAATACCCAAACATTAAAAAAAATCCTTGAGGGCGGGGAGTGAACGCTTCCACTTTTTTTTGAAGCTCAGGATCCATTGTTGTTAGTGGAAAATGCATTAGTAATTTTAGCTCGTCCTTTAAATTTCGTATTGCACACATATTTGGCCGTATTTCTAATGGAGTGTTGATTTAAGGCATGTGACATTCAGTCAATTGAACGACATGAAGGCAACGTCAATACAACTCTCTCCTTCCTTGTTTGAGAGATATCTTTTCACGTTTTCCATGTATTCTTTCTGTCTCCAGCGTAGAGGTCCACCGAGAGAATTTCCAATTTCCAAACACATCGTCTTCAGTTTAACAAGGGTCTCTTCCTGGCGCAAAAAGACATCGTTTAACTTTGATCTCAGGACAAGGATGGACTTTTCAGCCCTCTGATGACTCACATCTGACTCGTCACAGGGTGCGGGCGTTGTTTCCTTTGTCGGGGGAATGTCTTTGTCTTCAATCTGTGTTTTATATTTCTTACTGCTCTGCATTTTTATCTTTCTACGGAAGATAAAAAATATAATATAGAAATGCAGAATGAAGATGCAATGTGACATTCTTTGTGTACATATCGGTTGCATTCTTTAATCAAATTTATTTTCTTTCATATTTGACATCGTGAGCCACTCCCCAGTGCTAGAACAATAAATGGTGAAAAGACGTAGTCATATGAAAACCAACAACAGCAAAAACACCCAAAACATGTAAAATGTCAGTCATATGTATACGTGTAGTTTGTGTTAAATCGGAGAATGCCGCTTTCAGTTTATGATGTTGTTAGTTATTGTATCAATAGATATATGGAATTTCCAAGCTGGCATCTATCTAAGAAGGAAAATCTGCGTATGCTTCTAATCACTGCAAAAACAGAAATTTTGAGTCATACTCACGTTAATGTCGAGCTCTTCATACATGTACTAGGATATCGATTAGTAAGCCGTTAAGATATGGGACTGGATGTTGCGTGAAGCAGGAACAAAGAACGTGTCTTATAGTGTCACAATCAATTTTACCATGCAACAATAAAAGAATTATCCATGAATAATGATAAAAACAACAATGAGGGACGATTATGTGTTCACTTAACCAAAGACATATTGGAAATATTTGGTTAATCATCTTATAGTCCAAAGGGTAGAAAAAAAGTAAAACCGAAACAATCGGTTTTTATGCTAGTGTTTGACCTTACCTATGAAAGGATTTGTCAAAATGTTGAAATTCTATGAGATATTGCATTTTGAAATTTGCAAAATTTTCACTTTAAAAGGCTCTGTGACCTTGAAAATTAGGTCAAGGTCAATGAAATTGGGTGGACCGGAATAACTTTTCATAGGCTATCAGTATTAATTTTTTCAGAATTTTAGAAAGACGAAAAATAATAAGAAGAAGAATAATAACAGGAAAAACAATAGTATTCCCCTATGGGGAATCCTTATAATAATAATAATAATAATAATAATAATAATTATAAAAGTAATAATAATAAATAAATAAATAAATAAATAAATAAATAAATTTTGGACATCTCATGCTGCAAAATTAAGCAAAAGTACGGGAATTAAACGGGAATTAGTTAATATTTAGGCCACACGTGCATACAAATTATTTGTGAATCTATTGTGTTATTTACCTTTTTTTAAACCTGTTCATTCTTCCTCTTTATCAGATATATCGGTAAATATCAAATATATTCCCCTTTTGAACTTGTAATAACTTGTAGCATGCTCCATGCTCTGAAAACCAGCACATGTATATTCCGAAACCGCCACGTAGTAAAAAAAAAATGTCACCAAAATTTAGAATTATTACTCCTGTGGATTTGAAATAAACATCCGTTTGATTTTGACTATATTCCGTATCCACCTCGTTGTCAGAAATATCACCAAAAAGTAAATTTCTTTCTCCTTACTTGTGAAAAATAAGTTTGACTATATTCCGGTCCGACGCTCCTTGTTTATCAGCAATGTCACTTTTGCAACAGGCCCAGCTAGGTGTGGCTCAGCTGAGAAGCGCACGGTCAGTGTCGATGATTGATACTTTTCACGCCAGTTGAACATCCATGACAAGTATTTAGCAAAAATTGACCAAATTGGTCAGAGATTACGTAAGAATTTGGTGGGAGGTGACCAGCGCACGCGGACGAGTTTATTTCATATAACATCTCTAGAGCGTGATATAGGGTCACTTTATTCGGTTTTAGGGGTGTTTTAGGATGAAATGACTGTATTTTTTTCTCGGTATGTATGTCAAATAATACACTGTCACCCTCTCGCGATATATATGCATTGAACACCTCTCGCTGACGCTCGAGGTGTTATGGCATATATCGCTCGGGTGACAGTGTATTATCTCACACGTAATCCTAGACATGAATTTGACAGCAAAACCGCCATACTTCCACCTAACGATAATACATGCACAGAAAGTTCATTTACCACAAATTTAATAACGATTGCGAAAAACAGACTTCGTTGGGGTGATTTTTTTTCACAGAAAGAACAAAAATTGGTGCGTGCGCAGAACGTCATCCATAATAAATAAAAAGTGTGGCCTAAACAAGTCTTAGCTGTAAGTTGAAGCTGTGAGTAAATTTCTACATACATTGGGCACCATGGTCACCAAAGAAAGTCTATACTGCCAATACTTAAATGCCTTTCAAAAAAAAAAATCGCCTTATGTGGGAATCAACACATTTTTAAACAAAATATCCAACACAATTCAATGAAACTTGATGTACAACCTTGGCCCAAGATATCATGAACTTGTAAACAAACGAACAAAAAAATAAATAAATAAGTAAATAAATAAATAAATAATTAAAAAAAAACATAATTACCAATATTCATAAGTACTTTGCTCTGTTAGCAATTTTATTACTGATACGATCTTAAGCCATGTCGCTCATGCACGGGTTGGTATTAGCGTTACGTTACATGATGCATTTGAACTCCTTTCTTCGTATTCATATTGTGCCTAGCAGGGGGGTATGTGACTAATAGGAAGCATTTTATTTTAGATGGGCAATTACAACGTATTTTAGAAATTAAAATAAAAACTAAACCTGATGGTGACCTTAGCTTTGATTATTTGCCTCTTTTTCTCCACTCTGTATTTTCACAATCCATAGGTAATATGAATAACGCCCCACTGTAAGCTGCCACAAGGACTTTAACACAAAAACAAATTCGCATATTTTATGGAATCTCAGTAGACTTTACGTTGACAATAGCTTAGCCACCATTCCTGTCGGCTTATTTATGCACAGGTCACAAGGGAAAAGCAGGAATAGCTTTCACAAAAGGCTTTTTTATTTGCCGCTTATGTTATACTGGTTTGTGGTACAATGGACTTACAAAGTCTATTATATTGCTACGCAAACATAATTTGTGATATAATACGTAAGTGTAATTCTGCACCACGGCCAGGTGTTAGACTCCCTAATGGGTATTGTTACCAGGGATTTGATTTTAATACCTTGTTAATGTACAACTACGTAGGGTTGGCAGAAAAACACAAAGCTTGGATGTTTGATGTGTTTATATTTACAGTTCACTGGCATCTTGTCTAACGTAAAACGTTATATTTCTAACGTAAAATTGTAACAGAATTTTGCTAAGATGAGCATCACCGAAGCATAGTTGTAGTGGGTGGATGTAAACTATTTAAAAATTGAAAGCAACGGAGGGGTATTCTTTTGCCCATGGCAGACGTATGCCTGCGAGCGGGCGCGCGCGTGTGTGTATGTATGTGTTCGAGGGGTGTGTGTGTGGGGGGAGAGTCCTCTCGGGATGCCGCCTTCTGCCCCAATAGATCCAGAGACGGTTTAAAAAGCAAGCGGCGTATGTGCTGGCCCTACAACGCATAAGCCGCACAATATAATGTCCCTCTGCTCACCTTGAAGTTTGTCAATACGTGTACGTTATCCTTAGCTAAATCGATAATGGATAACGTAAGGAAAATAAACTAAGGTCGGGTCCCATTTTTGGCACACAAAGGCATTAAAAGAAGGTGACACATTATTATTGAACATATGGCTCTCACCAATAAATTGTTCGTATATATTTTACTCTGAGAACCCTGGGTATAACTATAGTCACATGGGTCAAGCCCTCGTGTTAGCAAAAATTGGGCAAGCATCATTTTCAACACCAGTGTTTTGCTTCTATTTTAAGGTCAATTCGAGCTCTTGTTACGTAGGGGTTGCGTATGAATCTGCACCGCGCTTTTTTTTAACTAATAGCAGGACGATCGATTAAGCGGAACGTCGACTGCTACAGGTGAAAATAAAACAATGGGCAACAGGGCGGTTTCATATTTATTTTTTAGCGTTATTCTAATAACACAAAATGGACACGAAACCAAAGCAGGGTATAACCACAACGTGGCATTCAAACCTGAATGTGAACGCAGAGGTGATTATATCCCAAGCAAGTGCGTCTACAACTGGACTATCGACTATCGTATGACAGGGGTGTGGTACAACACGAGGAGGAACACGGGAAAACCGGTCTTTAGGTATGATAATGACCAGTATTACTATGGGGAACAGTCAAACTGCACACGTCTGCCGTTGTCAGAGTCTGGTGAGTTTATCCAAATTACACGATCCATACACTGTACTAGACAATTATGCCTTTTTATATACTATTTGCATATTCCAATCCCAGCTCTTAAAGGTATTAATTACGCATACAAAATCCCATTGATTAATTAATTATTTAAAGCAATAATAAATTAATTAACAAGAACTAAAATACAGAGCAGCTGATCTTGTTTACTTTCTCCCTCCAGACCTTGACGATGTCATCATGACGGACGGAGGTTACCGTAGAGTCATCACCATTAACGGGCAGTTTCCCGGGGAGACAATAGTGGCTTACTACGGGACACAGGTACATAACAATTAACATGTCATGTGAGAATGAAAACGTTCTATCACCATTATTGTTTTTCTTCAATCGGAGAACATCGAAAGAAAGCTAAATACAGTGATGGTATTTCCTCAAATTATTTTGTGTCAATTTTCTCTTTTTTATTTATAGGGATATGCCTTTACGTTGACATTTAACACATAATGACATTTGCAATTACGTTTTCATTTCAGTTGATAATCAGTGTCACTAACAATCTAGAAGAAGAGGGTGTGTCCATCCATTGGCATGGCATCGTGCAGAGAGATACTCCATACATGGACGGGGTGGCTCGCATATCACACTGTCCAATCAACCCCGGGGAGACATTCGTGTATAGGTAAGGTTATCCGTCACTAACCAATCACATTTGTCGATATATTATTTTGTTTGGCGTATATATTAGTTCCAAATATTCCGCCTGGAATTTTATTTGTATGCCATCATAATAATCCTACAGTATTGCCTTTTGGAGAGTCACCATATTTGTTCCACGGATCTGATAGTCCGCTGTTCTGAATGTGCTCTGAGTGTGTGTGTGTGTGTGTGTTGTGTGTGTGTGTTATGTGTGTGTGTGTTATGTGTGTGTATGTGTGTGTTATGTGTGTGTGTGTTATGTGTGTGTGTGTTATGTGTGTGTATGTGTGTGTTATGTGTGTGTATGTGTGTGTTATGTGTGTGTGTGTTATGTGTGTGTGTTATATGTGTGTGTTATGTGTGTGTGTTGTGTGTTTGTGTGTGTTGTGTGTGTGTGT